CTTCGTATGCTTTGGAAACAGAGAAGAGTCTTGACTTCTGGACAAAAGATTAAAAAAAAACCAAAAAACCACAGTTTTTACATTTTCCAACTCTTAGAGGCTATCTAGTTACATAGATTTTTAGCCATCATAAAATTCTGGACATGCTATGGCAAACACAGAGGAAAATTGAGGTAATGACTTGGCTGACACTGCTATGAACTAAAACAACTCAGCCCTTAAAGGAAGCATCTGTGCTACTGTCTGAAGCTTTTGGGGATGTAAAAGATAACATTATGGAGGCACAGCATTTAGCTGTTCGACACAACATAAGTGATATTTGATTCAGTTGTCTCCTTCCCAAGGACACAAATATGTGCTGGTGACTTGTATGTTTCCTCATTTAGTGGAGGCTTTCCCATGCCCCAGAGCCACAACCTCTGCCATCAGTAATAATATGAGTGTAGATCCCAATGACTGTCCACCCTTCCCAGATTGCATAAATTGCAATTACCTTATTATTAATATATATTTTTTTATTGATTGATTTTTCACAGAGAGCAAGGGACAGGGACAGAGTTAGAAACATTAATGAGAAACATTGATCAGTTGCCTCCTGCACATCCCCTACGGGGGATGTGCCGGTAACCAAGGTACATGCCCTTGACCGGAATCGAACCTGGGTCCTTTCAGTCTGTAGGCCAACACTCTGTATCTACTGAGCCAAATCGGTTTCAGCTACATTATTTACTTGACTTAATTCTCCCGAACTGTGACAAAATGGTTTTTATCAGTAAGACAATACAACTGGAAGCCATCTCCGAGATAGCTTCCCAGGATGGGAGGGCAATCTGGCTACATCTTTCACCCCATTGGATGGCCAGGGTTGATTCAGCTGATCTAGCTGGTGAGGCGGGTGTCCCCCTCTTCCCTCACCGATTCTTGTGCATTCCTGCCAAAGAATGACCTTGTCCTCAGAGAGGACGGGTCTTTGTTCAAGGGTATATGAGTAGCTGGCTCCCCTGCTAGAACCTCCAAACAAGCTCTTAAAGAGAGCTTCCCCTCTATGCCAAATCTGCCCAAAGCACTAAGCTGAAAAGCCCAGACCTCCATGGGGCATTGTCCCTGGACTTTAGGACCTTTGAGTTTGGGCCAATGGATTTGATTCAGTTGTCGGCTTCCCAAGGACACAAATACCTGTGCGCTGGTGACTTGTATGTTTCCTCATTTAGTGGAGGCATTCCCCTTCCCCAGAGTCACAGCCTCTGCCACCAGTAATATACTCCTAGGAAGACCTTCCCAACTTGCGGAATCCCCTCAGAGTTCCATAGTGACCGGGGAATTCACTTCACATGCCAAATTATACAATCTGATTGATTTAGAAACATTTCCATTATGCTTATCATGTCCAGACCTCCTGTCTTGTATTGTAGAACTAATGCGGCAATTAAATATTACTCTGCTTTGGCCTAAGGCTCTTGCCTTGATATAGCTCAACCCAAGATCTCCCACAAACAGATTTTCTCCTTTTGAGAGTATTACTGACAGACCCATGAGTTTAGATCAAGGAATTTACACCTGCAGTGTGAATGGAGCCCTCCTCATTTAATGTAAATAACTTAAAAGGGCCCTTAGGACTAAGTTACAGTTCACAGAGCAATCATTCCATAGGCACTCCCTCCCATGAAAATCTACATCCTGGTCTTCATCCAGGAGACTCTCTATTGGAAATGCAATTTCCATAGATGCCCTTCTGCCCAATGGAAAGGGCCACGTGAGGTCTTCCTTACTAACCCTTGTGCAACTAAACAAGGGCATTGACTCATGCATTCGTGTTCCTCACACCTGAGCGATCATCTCAACCTATTGCAGACCTTAAGCTAAAAATCCCTGAACAACCCAAGACCACCTCTAGGATTCTCATTCTGGGATCAAATCAGATGGCATCTGATGTGCATGGCTCTCTCAAGACTCACATCAGACCAGTAATACCTGAATCCACTCAGCAACCCTTACATTTGGTCTTCCCTTTGACCACCTGTTCCATTTACTGATAATAAAAATGTGTATCTGTGGGGAAGCATGGGATTTGGTGGGAAGGTCTGTAAGAATTCTCCGAAAGGTCGGGGCCTCTGAGGGGACCTTGCCAAAGGTGGCAGTCCCTACCTTGACTTTTCCAAACAAGTTTGATCCCCCGGAGAGTTTTACTGGAATCTGTTTAAAGACCTGACCTGGAAGAAGCACATGTGCTTTCTCAAGGATAGTTACCCTGCTAACTGTATCTGAAGGCTAATTTGAGTTCAAGCTGTTGTTACAATAAAAAGCCAATGAGGCAGGTGAACAGGGCTGCTTTTACTTCTAAAGTAAAACAGTCCCTTAGCCTCTTCCACAGAAACTGTGTAAGAGCAACCTGTTCATCCGTTGCTCAGGGTCTGCTGGTCAGCCCTGGCATGTAACTATACTTTTTTGTATGATTCAGATTACAAGTTCACACTTTGATGGGTCTTAAGCAACTATAATGTTACTTCTTACAGTGTCTCTTTAATATGGGGAAATTGAGGGGATAACACCATTTAATCCTGAAAGCGGGTGTCCTTCCGCTCTCAAATACTGTTTGGGGTCTAGATAAAAAATCTGGTATTTGGTGGAAAACAAAATATTTCAAAGAATCTCAGCCCAAAACTTGAAAAAACCACATACATACATATAAAAACTTCAGGTGCTCCTTTAATCACTCATGATAAATTATGATGACTTTGTTTTCCATGTTGATGACTATTATGATCAACCAACAATTGGAGAACAAAGTCCCTGCTTCATAAACAGAATTTACTACTGTACTCAGGGTCTGGGTTGAGGGCCTAATCACAGGCCCTCATTTGAGGGCACTGAGTTTTTCTTCTTTCTAAAAAATTACATTTATTTTTACAGAGGGAGAGGAATAGTTAGAAACATTGATGAGAAACATCAATCAGTTGCCTCTTGCACAACCCCTACTGGGGATATGCCCACAACCAAGGTACATGCCCCCGACCGGAATAGAACCTGGGACCCTTCAGTCTGCAGGCCGATGCTCTATCCACTGAGCCAAACCAGTCAGAGCTGTTTTTTCTTTCTTCTTCTTTTCAAAAAATATATTTTATTGATTTTTCACAGAGAGGAAGGGAGAGAGATACAGAGTTAGAAATATCGATGAAAGAGTCATGGATCAGCTGCCTCTTGCACACCCCCTACTGGGGATGTGCCTGCAACCAAGGTACATGCCCTTGACCGGGATCCAACCTGGGACCTCTCAGTCTGCAGGCCAAGCCAAACTGGTTTCAGCTGTTTTTCTTCTTATGTGGGACCCAAACATGTTACTTTGTTGATATACCTGGTAGAGAAACTCTTCTTCCTTTGCCATTGTCCCTAACCTAGGCTCTTTTGTCTATAAATTTTGACCAAAATAAACCAAATTGGAATTTTGAATATTGTCTTTTTGGTCCTTTCCACCCCAAACTGCATAATAGATAAGCAAGGCTTTGGGCATGCCTTCCCTAGAGTTTTTTCCTTTGGTATGATATAGTTGAATTAGAAAGGTAGATCAGCAATCTATTCTTGGAGGACAATCATGAAACGTTACTCCCACTGCTCTTTTTAAAAAAAATATATATTTTATTGATTTTTTTACAGAGAGGAAGGTAGAGGGACAGAGAGCTAGAAACGTTGATGAGAGAGAAACATCGTCCAGCTGCCTGTTGCACACCCCCTACTGGGGATGTGCCCGCAACCAATGTACATGCCCTTGACCGGAATCGAACCTGGGGCCCTTCAGTCCACAGACCGACGCTCTACCGCTGAGCCAAACCAGTTTCGGCACTCCCACTGCTCTTGACTAAGATAGTTCTACAAAACCTTAGGATTCCACCCTAACTATTACAATCCTTGGACAGAACATTAGCCCCTATATAGGGATTGGACAGACTTATTTAGCTGGCTGCCTGCAGGAATAGGGAGCTGGCTTAGTTCTCTATTATAACTCCTTCATTATATTGGTGTTTGATTATACTGTTTGTCACATTAATCAAGTGTCTTAGCAGGTGCATGAAACAATCACTAATAGCCATTACCAGAATGGTAGCCCATTGCCTAAAGATGCTACAATAAATAAATCTGAGACCACCTCTACCAAAAAACTTTCAGACTTTCTTACTCTCAGTTGTTGCTCCAATATACCAAAATACTTCAGGGCAAAAGTATTTGTTTAAAACAACAAACCATTAGGTACAATATTTAAGAGTTGAGCCTAACAGGAATATAAAACTCACTAAGAGGACAGATCCTTGCCGAAACCGGCTCAGTAGTAGAGCATCGGTCTGCGGACTCAAAGGTCCCAGGTTTGATTCCGGTCAGGGGCATGTACATTGGTTGCAGGCACATCCCTGGTAGGGGGTGTGCAAGAGGCAGCTGGTCGATGTTTCTCTCTCATCGACGTTTCTAGCTCTCTATCTCTCTCCCTTCCTCTCTCTAAAATTCAATAAAATATATTTTTAAAAAAATAAAAAATGACAGGTCCATGAATAGCAAAATATCTGTCTCTCTTGTAACATGAGCTGAATTTGCTGCTTATAGTAAATTGTATTTCTCAATATCAACAAGATTCTTCAAAAGGTAACTGTTATCTGTGAATAATAATTACTTAAAAGATAAGCAATCTAGAAAGCATGATCTAGAATCTATTGATAGTACAAAATAGATTCTAGATAGTACAAAAATTAAATGTTAACCGAATAAACAGGATTTTGTGGGACTGTATGTGCAGAAAAAAGATATAAAGGAAACTTGCACATAATTTAAAATGTAAACTAATTACAAAGTGTCAGGAAGCTGATAGTTTCCATGCTATATCAAATTAATTTCTTAAATTTAACCAAATAAAAACCCTGCTGTTCAATAAAATGTCCTGAAGCAAATAGTTACATGAATCCTCAGGAAGACAAAATTAAGGCTAAAAAGATCAAACACCAAGTGTTCATTAAACCTTTCAGTCAACAGAGCCTTTATTACATGCAAGTACCATTTGCCACAAGATATACATGTTGTCCTAATCTTTCAGTTCTTTTTCAGTATTTTAATTTAAGGTTACTTGTGGATCTAACATAAAAAGTAACCTACTAAAATTGGTCAAAGTAAAACTTGATTCTAGCTATTACCTTAACCTTTAATTATTTAGGTTTATAATTGACATTGTCTCAAGTAGCAGAATATAATTCTTGTACTTGATAGTCTTCTATACTAAAATATGTACCAGAATATCTTAAGAAGTTACTAAGTATATGGAATTAACATATGTATTTAGCTGTTTTCCATATGCTGGAAAGTATAATGCTAAGTTTTTTAAGAGGAAAATTGTTTACAGATCGTGGTTATTTATGGTTTTTGCAGTTTCCATAAAAACTGGTCCATATTAAACAAGTCTTGAAGAACTAAGATGAAAACTTAAAAACCCTAATGACAGTCTTGATTTACTAAGATAGAAGTAATAAACCAAACCACAGTTCTTTTCTCCCAGGCCTCAGCAGAGATGCTCTGTCACACCTTTTTGTCTGCTTGGTATAAAAGTTGAATGACCTCTTCATAAATTAGATATCAGTAGAAGACCCACAAATGATGGGCATATTTATTGGGACACATTTTAATTACTAGAAGATAATTCATATACTGTATCAAAGTGCATTATGAGAATTGCACTGAATCTGTCCACATGTTTGTCATATTTTACAACATTTCAGTTGGATGCAGGAAGACTGGAATTGTTCAGAATATTCTAGATTTTAAGATGTGGGTAAAGTTCATAGTGAGTCTTTTAAGAAGTATAATCACAACAAGGGACTATGTAAGGAGAATGAATATTGCAAAGGAAGCTTTATAGTCAATGAAAATACAGTACTTTGGATTGGCCAAAATGCACAGAAAACATGAAATCAAGGTCATGTACTTTACTTATTGACCATGTGGCTACAGTTCCAACAGCCGTACCAAGTAATCTTCCAAATTGCTTTTAAATAAAGTTCTTAAATTGTAGCAATGAACAAAAAGACAAGATACACTTAAACAATACTGCATTTTATCAAAAGACACATAAGAAATTTCAACTCATGTCTTTGACAGTTATAAAAATCAACATTTGGCTAAGTTATAAACATGTTTATAATGCAATTATTTGCATAATTCTAATAATGGTAATGATGGCTATAAGATCAGAATAGGTTAAAAAAAAACATACCTAAAAACATAAAAATACATAGGCCAATATTTACCTGTAGAATATGTTCACATATGACTCAAGTTCAGCATTTACTGTATTGCCACCACTCTAATTTTAAAAATCACACCCAAAGGGTAAGGCAAAACTAGCTAGCCTATTTGTTAACTTCTCAATTTGTGAAAATGTCCTTAATCTGTTGATGTAGCAAACAAATTTCAACTGTGCTATGCAAAAGAAGAGACGATAGTCTGCTTTGCAATGAACTTTAGAGTTCAATCGCACACAGGCAACATGCTATATATGAAAAAATTACTAACTGAACTACAGGTATTAAATACTGAAAAAAGTTAACAGTTTATTATAATTTACTTTATTTAACAATCTAGGAAGTTTGCAGCCATCAGCAGTTCCAGTGCAATTTCAGGTGCAATTGGGAATTCAGGAATCTCTGTGGAGCTGTTAGTGTAGCGAACCTTGTAAGTAAAATACATGCACACTTTTGATAGCACATGTGAAGGGATCTCTCTAAAATTGACTTCATTCGTTTCGTTCTCAGCAAACTGACCTATAAAAGAAAAAAAAAAGGCGTGTTATGCGCTGACGTGTGTTCCTGCAAAATTCTTATGTGGAAGTCCTTACGCCCAGCACTTCAAATGTATTTGGGGAGGGGTGTCTTTTTCTCTCCCCCCTTCCACCCCCCCGGCCCTGTTCAGAAAGCATTTTAAATATGGAATGCTTCACAAATTAGCATGTCATCCTTGCACAGGAGCCATGCTATCATTCCAATTTTAGTGCACGTACTGCCAAAGTGAGCATGGAGACAGGGTCTTTAAAGAGGTAATTAAAGGAAAGTAGGATTTATTAGGATGGGCTCTAATCACGTGACTGGCAGCCTTAGAGGAGGGGATTAGGGCCCGGCCAGAGTGGCTCAGAGGTTGAGTGTTGACCTATGAACCAGGAGATCACAATGGATTCTTGGTCTGGACATATGCCCGGGTTGCAGGCTCGATCCCCAGTAAGGGGGTGTGCAGGAGGCTGTTTCTAACTCTCTATCCCTCACTCTTCCTCTTTGTAAAAAGCAATAAAATATATTAAAAGAAACAAAAACAGCAACGGGATAAGAGATAGATACAACTAGATAGATCAAAAGATACAACTAAGGACTGGCTAGCGTGGTTTAGGGGCTGAGTGTCAATCAATGAACCAGGAAGTCACAGTTGATTCCCAGTCAGGGCGCATGCCTGGGTTGCAGGCTAGATCCCTAGTGTGGGACGTGCAGGAGGCAGCCAATCAATGATTCTCTATCATCATTGATGATCCTTTATCTCTCTCCCTCTATGAAATCAACAAAAATATGCTTAAAGCCCTAGCTGGTTTGGCTTCATGTGGACTGATTTCAGGGCTAGGTTCGATTCCGGTCGGGGGTACGGGTTGCAGGCTTGTTTCCTGGTGGTGGTGGTGGTGCAAATGCAGGAGGCAGCCAATCAATGATTCTCATCATTAATGTCTCTCCCTCCCTCCCTCCCTCCCTCCCTCCCTCCCTCCCTCTCTCTCTCTCTCTCTCTCTCTCTCTCTCTCTCTCTCTCTCTCCTTCTGAAATCAATAAAAAATACATTAAAAAAAAGGTATTTCAAAGAAAATGTTTTTTTTTTTTAAAGAAAAGAATAAAAGATACTACTAAGAAAAAGAATGGAAGAAAATATTAAATCATGTATCTGATAAGAATCTAGTGTCCAAAATTTATAAAGAACTCTTACAACTCAACAACAGAAAAGATAAACAACCCAATTAAAAAGTCGACAAAAGACTTGAAGAGACATTTCTCCAGAGGATACACAAATAGCCAGCAAGCACATGAAGAGATAGTCAACATCATTAGTCACTAGGGAAATGCTAATCAAAACCACAATGACACACTACTGGTACCCATTAGGATGGCTAGAATAAAAAACTGCAAATGAAGTGTCAGTGAGGATGTGGATAAAACCACATAAGGAACCCTCATAGATGTTGGTAGGAATGTAAAAATGGTTCAGCCACTGTGCAAAGTTTGGCATTTCCTCCAAAAGTTAAACATAGAAGTCACCATATGTTCCAGAAATTACAATCCCCAAGAAAAATTACCGCAGAGAAAACGTTAAGAATAGATATTTGGAGGTGGTATCTTCTATGGATAACTTCTATAGAAGCAGGAGCACAAATCACCAGGCCTGTGTAGAGAAGCTGACCATGGACACTAACATAGGAAAACAAACCTTCCTGTTTCCAAGTAACCAACCGGCTCTTATTGAAACTAGGGTAACTAATTAAAAACAGGGTCTGGCAGAAACCAACTTTTCCCCAATGCAACATAATTATTCGATGTTCAAATAGTTACTGTCTCTTTTAAGTGTTATGAGTCATTTCACTCAACTTAAAACATTCATCAAACATTAGAAGTGAAGATATGTGAAGAGAAAATAAAGGAAATGTTCCTACCTGGGCCACTCAACATGGCTTTGATTGTTCCTGATGTTAATGCATGTTCTCTTTTTACAATAAATTCATGACCATCTGAAGATATCAATTTGACATACATGGCATCAGGGCCTTCACAGCCACCATAGGTTTTCTCTTCTCCATCTAAATGAAATAGTAAAATGACTTGAATCACAAAATTTATGAACAATAAAAGGTTTACCAAGTTAATATTTGGGGAACTCAGACCAGAAAGATTTCTCGTGGGTAATAGCTACCAAGATTTTACAGATTTTAAGCTTCTTGTTTATTATTCTCTAGACATTTTCCAATGTCACAATAACTCTACATTCTAGGATGTTACTTTGGGTGAAAATTTACCACTATTTTACAAGGAAGCATTAATAATATTTTTGTGAACACAGCAGCAAATTCAAATTTGAAGACTCAAACAAAATATTCATATAGTAATCTTTAGCCCTGGCCGTTGTGGCTCAGTTGGTTGTGTGTCGTCCCATGCACTGGGGATATCCCCAGTAGGAGGCAGCCGACAGATGTGCTCTCACACTGATGTTTCTCTTTCTCCCACCTCCCCTCCTCTATTCCTAAAAATCAATTTAAAAAAAGGCAAAACTTTAGCCGAAACCAGTTTAGCTCAATGGATAGAGCATCGGCCTGCGGACTGAAAGGTCCCAGGTTCGATTCCGGTTAAGGGCATGTAACATGGTTGTGGGCACATCCCCAGTTGGGGGTGTGGAAGAGGCAGCTAATCCATGATTCTCTCTCATTGATGTTTCTAACTCTATCCCTCTTCCTTCCTCTCTGTGAAAAATCAATAAAATAAATAAATAAATAAATAAGGGCAAGACTTTAATTCCATCACCTGAAATACTTATCTTTAAAAAATATATATATATCCTGTACACTTGCTTGACTGAACAGGTAATGCAAGAATTTTGGATGTTCAGAAAAATGTAATAAAATTTTAATGAAAGTAAAATATAAATATATATATATATATATATATATATATATATATATATATATATATGGCTGGGGGACTCATAAAGATGCAATAACTTCTAAGTTATTGACTATCCAAGCATACAGGTTCTCAGCAGTTTTGCCAATTTCTGAGAAAAAAAAAAATAATTACCAATTATTTAAATTTATACTTCTAGTATTTTTTTGCAAGCTAAACCATTTTATATATCTGTTGGAAAAGTTTCTAATATTTTAAGGTAAACTACTCACTAGGAATCACAAATTTTATAAAGGTACTGATGTGTCTTTTAAGATTATACTATAAACATAGGTTGTTGAATTAAACTACTTTGACCACTTTCTAATTCGCATTTGCATTCACTGACATTGAAGTGGAGTGGGAAAACCGGCTTCTACCAGTTGAAATACTCGTTATTTTCTTATGAAACTTACCCATTTTGTTCTTATGAAATTCTACTTCGCTTCCACAGGAAGTTCAGTAGTTTCCTGAAAATATAACAAAGCCATATTAAGACATGTTCTTCACCATTATTTAATATGTCCTTGGTGTTACAAGTTTAAGGCCTCTCTGCTAAGCAGGAATTTCCTAGTTCCCACACGGTAGAACAGTATCAAGTTTCTGAACATCTGACAAAAGATGATCACCTTCCGGACAATAAAGTCAAAATACGAACTTGTTTCTTTTCTTTCTTTTTTTAAAAAAAATATATTTTATTGATTTTGTACAGAGAGGAAGGGAGAGAGATAGAGAGTTAGAAACATGGATGAGAGAGTCATCAATCAGCTGCCTCTTGCACACCCCCTACTGGGGATATGCCCGCAACCAAGGTACATGCCCTTGACCGAAATCGAACCCGGGACCCTTCAGTCCCCACGCCAATGCTCTCTATCCATTGAGCCAAACCAGTCTTGGCTTTTTTTTTTCTTTTCCTTTTAGGCACCTATTCTGAAAGTCTTAAAAACACATGCTGTTCATTAGGACCTAAACTAAGCTTGAAAGAGATCCTTGGCCTTAATCATCTTCATATTTATACTACATCTGCTTGATTCTGGTAGACACTAAAATATTTGCTGAATGAATGACAACACGATAAATCCAAGGACATGAAGTACCTTTCATGAGAAGGAAAAAGGTAAAGCTTGCCCGCTTATGTAAATGTTCACATCAATATCTGTTTTATCCCTTCTGCATATAGGCTGCCAAAAATCTGTAATTTAACAGAAGAGTGGTAAAATTTTATACTTTTTTGAGAAATCTTAAATTTTACAAATGGTGATTACTAAATAAAAAAGGCTCATGTTTTCAGTAATTTGTATTTTAATAGCATTGCTTCAAAGAAGGATTTTATTAATATCACTATTATTTTTAGTGATTATCCTTTTCTCTAAGAAACTTCATTATCCTTTTCTCTAAGAAATTTCTGGCTAATACTTTAGGGGAGGGTGAAGAAAATAAGTCACATTTTAGGGCAAGAAAGAAACTTGGAGATAACTTATGTCATCCGCACCTTAAAAAAAAACGGTAACATCCCTGCTGTATAGAGAAGATAAATGCTTGTTCCGGGTAATGATGGAATAAAGCAGAAATCACCAGTTAGAACACTGGCTAAGCACAGAGAGAGATATTTAAAGTACAGTTTCTAATGGAGGCAGGGTAGCAATACTACTAAGAATTTGAGGGCCTGGTAAGTGGTAAATATTGCATTAAACATCATATATACATCGTCTTATTTTAAACCAACATTTCCACAGAAGAATTTTAAAGATGAGGAAACACTCAGAGGCTGGTACTTGCTCAAGGATTCTACAGCTTAAGTGGCAGCCTCAGGATTTAAACCTAGGGAGGCAGGCTCAATAGTGCACACTCCCTTCCACTACTCCATACTGCCATACTGGCTCCAGTTAAAACAGCCACTACTGCTGAGAGCTGTGCTGCATTCTCTAAAATTAAAATACATTACTATGTCATTTTATGATAATAATAGTAGACAATTAAAAATTAATCAGTCATTATTTTCTTCTGTTCATACTGCTTTGTAATCATTCTCTTAACAAACAAACAAACAAAAAATATTTAAAAAGGACAAAATGCGCCGAAACCGGTTTGGCTCAGTGGTGGAGCATCGGTCTGCGGACTGAAAGGTCCCAGGTTAGATTCCAATCAGCGGCATGTACACATCCGGGCACATCCCCAGTGGGGGGTGTGCAAGAGGCAGCTGGTCGATGTTTCTCTCTCACCCTCAATGACGTTTCTAGCGCGAGCGTGCTCTCGCTCTCGCGCGCACGCGCTCTCTCTCTCTCTCTCTCTCTCTCTCTCTCTCTCCCTTCCTCTCTGTAAAAAATCAATAATATATATATATTTTTAAAAAGACAAAATGCTAGGGAAGCTAAAACAAGAATTTCAAGTGCTAACTTTGCTATCTGGAAAATTTTCAGAGCAAAATATCTAGAATGTTTACTTAACTAGCAGCAGCTAGGTAACCATGTAAAGTGACATCATAGAAGCCCTTTGGGTAGCAACAGTTTCTCCAGACTTCTTAATATAGTAAATAAACTCCAGCATTTAAACAAGGGTTAAAGAGGGAGGAAGGCTCCTATCACTAACAAATAAAGGAGTATATCAACAAGAATTAAGAGCAAATCTTAATTCTTAGCTAGGAGCTAAAAATATTTGAAGTGTGAGGAAATTTGGACTTAGCCCACAAATTACCTAGAGAGATCTAAGTCTGGGGTGGCAGAAATCTGTTTGAACATTTGAGCATCTATTCCATAACTGAGCTTAGTTCTGCAAATTTGAAAAAGGCAAAAAGCAAGTGGTCAAGAAGCAGTGGGCTGAGTGTCTAGGCAGCGGACAGCTTGAGAACAAAGGCCCGACTGAGATATCATTGTGCTCTGAGTATTACATTTAACATTACTTTTATAATTTTGTAATATTTTGGTAACAAATAGAAATTCTAGTGAGCCTAGGGCCTACAATAAAATTAGTTTTAAATCTAGTACTCTTGAACACTGAAAAGCCCATCCTATTTCTGATTGGACATCTAGGTTATAATCTGTTCCATCAACCCTGTTTGTACCTGACCAATAACCCCCCTTTAAAATTATAATAGCCTAATAAACATGTTTTGCTCAATGGTTGGGCAATCCCCTTTTTGTTATTACACATTTATTGTTAGGTCTATTTTTTGGTACAGTTTCTATTATGAATGGGGTCCGTTTCCCTATTATACTTTAGGAAAGACTATTGCTGGTGTTTTATTTTTATTTATTTATTTTTTAAATATATTTTATTGATTTTTTACTGAGAGGAAGGGAGAGAGATAGAGAGCTAGAAACGTCGATGAGAAAAACATCGACCAGCTGCCTCCTGCACACCCCTTTTCTGGGGATGTGCCCGCAACCAACGTACATGCCCTTGACCGGAATCGAACCCGGGACCTTTCAGTCTGCAGACGAATGCTTTACCGCTGAGCCAAACCAGTTTTGGCTATTGCTGCTGTTTTAAAGAAAAGTTTCTAAATTCATTCAGTTGATCTTGTATCCATCTTTGCAGAACTGTCCTAATAGTTCTAATAGTTTTTCAGTTAATTTGCCTGGATTATTTAAGTAGTAATTTAAATATTATAGTGTAGAACCAAGCAGTGCATGAAGGGAACAATGGTCAGTCAACTTGATGATTATTAACTATGTGTAATATGGAAAACAAAATAACACTAACCAAAAATTACCTAATGTTCAGGCCTATTTGAAGAGGCTTGAAAAGGCATCAGAATATCCTGCCTAGAATGAGCTTATGGTGTTAATGAATTCATGTCTCTGAGGACGAGTTAAAATTTTCATTCTGGCCATTCAACTTATGACACTGCTTCTATATTTAAATCTTGGGCAAACAGTCTTAATACTTTAGCCAACAGTACCCTTTCCCATCTTCTCCTACACGGAGGAATGAATAGTTTTCTTCACTATTAGACACGAATGTTTCATGGCTGCTGCCTTTATTGGTGTCTTTTTAGATATATTTGTCCCCCTAACTAGCTATGCTTCCATAAGGCAGGGAGGCTCTCTGATTATGACCCACACGTCCAGCACACAATGGTAATTATGTGGTCATGTTAAGAGAGTAAAGCCATATACAACAACGTACTTGCCAGACATAGATAGTATTATCCTGAGTGTTCCAACAAGATAGTTATTCAATGGCACTATGCTTTTGACCAAATTCTTTTTGTTTTTCCTTGAAGTTGACCTTAAAAAACTTGGAACTTTCAGACAACCACAAAAAAAACAGTTCTTTCTGGGGACATCTATTTAAGTTTACTGAATTATTTTGATTTTTGCTGAGGGAAGCAAGTGACTAAGGTAGGAGACAGTATTCTATCTTTCACAATAGAATTAAGTCAATATGAATTCTAATTCTTTTATAAAATATATTTATATTGATTTCAGGCAGGTGCCCAGACAGGGAATCAAATCACAACCTCCTGGTTCATAGATCAACACTCAACCACTGAGCCACGCATGAATTCTAATTTTTAAAACAATTTAACTTTAAAGTCTTTAGGGTACAGACACATTTCATTAAATTACAATAACCAAAACATCAATCTCACATTTTGCACACTACCATAAATTGTTAATTATAATGCAAGTGTATGAAACATGTATTCCTCCTGTAAGTAAATGATTTCTGGAATTTCATGTTTCCTAGAACAAATTCAGTATCTTCGAATTTCTATCTTGAGATGCAAGTAGGTTAAGTGATAAAGACTTCTGTTTCTTCACTTTGTAAATGAAAAAAAGAAAGGGGGGAGGGGCTAAATTTCGTCTTTAAGACCCCTTCAGCTCTCCCATTTCATGACTGAACCCTTTCATCCTTTCTACCACAAATGCCTGGAACTCCCAATTTCCCATCTTTCTTTAGCAGAGAGGCTCGCACACAACACAGAACTCTCCGGCTCCAGCCTTGTGTTTCCACTGACCTATTTCACTACTGGAAACTACCTAATCTCCCTGACAGAATGAGCTCCAAATTCCTTTGTTTTGAGTTGAAAAATATGAGCAAGTATTCACACTGTATAGTATATACTTAAGTATAGAATCTTGCATTTTTAAAATATTTTTTATTATTTCAGCGAGGGAGGGAGAGTGAGAGATAGAAGCATCAATGAGAATCATTGATCAGCTGCCTCCTGCAGGGCTCCTACTGGGGCTCAAGCCTGCAACTGGGCATGTGGTCTTGACTGGAATCGAACCTGGGACCCTTCATTTCGCAGGCTGACACTCTATCCACTGAGCCAAACCCGCTAGGGCTGGACAAGGTCAATCTTAACCTTAACAGACCTTACTGTTTTTTAGCATCTCGGGGTAAGGTAATGTCAGGATAACTTCCTTTTTTCCTGAACCCCTCAGGGCACAACCAAATGCACTGGGCCCACGACAGATACCACAAGTCCCTTCACTGTTATTGTCATCATGTTAATTGTTTACTATTAACTATCCTGTACCCACCTAAGTAAAAGAAGTGTTTATCATTTTACTAGAGGCCTGGTGCACAAAATTCGTATGCTTGGGGAGGTTGCCCTCAGCCTGGCCTGTGCCCTCTCAGTCTGGGACCTGGGGGGATGTCCTACCTAGGGCTTACTGGGCCTAAGCTGTCGATAGGACATCCTTAGCATCGCCTCGGAGGCGGGAGAGGCTCTCACCACTGCGGCTGTGCTCACCAACTGTGAGCCCTGCTTCTGGCTGAGAGGTGCTCCCCCTGTGGGAGTGCACTGATCACCAGGGGCAGCTCCTGCGTTGAGTGTCTGTCCCCTGGTGGTCAGCATGCATCATAGTGATGTCATTCCATCATTAGGTCTCTGCATATTAGCCTTTTATTATGTAGGTTTCTTTATCCAGTTCCACAGGACCTCCCTCCCCTTCTCTCCCCATCACTAATCTATCACCAATGGATGTCATATAACCTACCATCTCCTCCTTTGATTGTAAGGTTTAACCATTTTGGTTGGTCTTAACTTTTAGCCCTGGTCTGTGTGGCTAAGTAGGTTGGAGTGTCATTCAGTGCACCGAAAGGTGGTGGGTTCAATTCCTGGTCAGGGCACATAGCCAGGTTGCATGTTCAATCCCAAATGGGGTGAGTGACGGAGGCAACCGATGTTTCTCTCTAACATTGATGTTTCTCTCTCCCTCTGTGGAAAAACAAAACAAAACAAAACAAAACCGGAAACAATCACTTCAATTGCCTGGTCTTTCCCCCTTCATCCTACCTGCATGTATACCCTATAAAGTCTGTCTACTCTTCTGTTTCAAAAAATTAAATAGAAACCATCCTTCTATCCAAGATTAATCTTTCCACTTGAACACATCTATCCAGGGTTTGTGGTTATCATTATTTCCATCAACACATGAAAATGCTGTACATCATCACTACCATCCACTTCTCCTTAACCTACCCTAATCACTTTTGGCCCACTTGACGTTGTTTCACTGAGTACGTTGTCATCTCCCACTTACAGTATTTAAAAAAAGAAAAAGTTCTGTCATTTTGATGTATGTTCATAGGTGCTTTATGTTTTTTATTTATTTACCACAAGTAAAAGTCAGGAATTGTTATCTTTAATTTTTTTTTTTACTGTTTCAGTGCATTACTGCCGTGTTTTCCATGTGAGTGATGTAGGTGCTTATGTGGGTGCTTCCGTACTTCATCGCACCTTGGGAATATAGGAACAAACGGATCTCGGATCTCCGATGTATCCCGAGGACCTGAGTATTTATTTGGTCACATGATCAATATCTAATCCTATCCTACTGGAGCAGGGTTTTACAGTCGACTGCTGCCTCCTTCCTGAAACATTTCCTTCCCTTAGTATAACAGATGCCACATTCTTTTCTGTTTCCATCACTGTTGGCTCTTCTGACTAGAGTGCTCGCACACATCTGCCCTCTTCACCACTCACACTCTCTACTCACTGTCCTCCAGTCAGTCCAAAGATTTAAATATCGCCTATAAAATTTGACTCCCAGATTATCTCCCTAGCCAGATATCCTTCCTGAGAAACAATTATGGAAATCCAACTTGGCTAGGGCGCATTTTCTGAGCTGTCTACTGGTTATCAAACTCAGTACATCCTTTACAGATCTCTTTATTCCTCAGAAACCATGCAAACGCCCCAACCCTCATTTCAGTAAATAGCACTACTGTTCAGCCAGATCCTTGGGCAAAACAGATTTCTAAATAAATAAATAAATAAATAGGAGTTCCTAGACACGAAGGCAAGACCCATTTGGCTCCATCTTAAAATTATATTTCAAATCAAACTACTTCTCATTAACTTACAATCTCTAGTTCAAGCCATCACTTCTCAACTGATCTACTGTAGGGGCAAAAATAGAAGATTGGGGACTAGCTAAGGTTATGGGAATTATTAACCATGCTCATGTTAACCAGGACTGCCTTGTGTTGGTTAGAGAAAGGACATTCTGACCTGGGAGCCAACCTTGGAACCATTCACATTCAAGAACTGCCTATTATCGATATCAAGGAAAAATTAACCTTGTTGCCCAAACAAGGAGTCCCACCCCAGCCCGTATAGTCTACTTCTCCACATAATCCTTGTTCCACCCTATATGAGTAGCTAGCTTATGGCGGGCTGCAGAGCAGATTTTTGTGAATGACCTGCTGCTCTCCCATACTGCAGGCAGTACTGGAATCAACACGCATATGTGATTCAACTCTGCCTCTGCTTAATTGACTCAAGTGTGACAGGCAGCACAGACCCACTGACTGTCCGATTACACTGCCACAAGCCTCCTTAGGAGTTGGTTTCCTCATTTTCCTCCAATCTGGTCTATTCTCCACCCTGCAACCAGTCATCAAAAGCATAAATCAGATGTTCCTTCCCTGTACAAAATCCTCTCACTGCTTCTCATTACAAACAAAAAATGTGGATCAAGTTTCATCTTTAGTCACTCTGATCTCATCTCCCATCACTCTTCCTTCACTATATACTAGCACACTGGCATCCTTAGAATTATAACAGGTCAAGTTCATTACTTTAAGGTCTTTGCTTTTGCAGTCACTGCTATCTTAAATTTCTTTTCTCACGTCCTCTTTATCACTGAGGTCTTCATGCAAAACATCAACTCCTCCCAGGGGTAGATCTTTGTTCACTTGCCTGTCAAAATCAGACACCCTCACCCTAGACACTCTTTATCTTGTTCTCTGATCTTCCTATATTTTCTTCACGTTTATTTATCACCACCTGAAACTATATTTGCTTACTTATAGTATATCCTCTTTCTTAAAAAACAAAATTGTTTTTTCTTGACTTCAGAGAGGAAGGGAGAGGGCAAGAGAGAAACAATGATGATAGAGGATCATGGATCAGCTGCTTCCTGCAGGCCCCAAGCCCACAAGCAAGGCATGTGCCCTGACTGGAAATCCAACCACTGAGCAACTACAGCGGACTGGGCTGGGCTTTTTCTGATCTTAGGAACAGTAAACATTTAGCACAGGTTAGCTAAAATTCTTTAGCACATATCAGTGGAACTGCAAAGACTTTCAGTTTACTTTTTAGTAATGAAAAATCTACCAAAAAAACCCCAAACACCATTTTATAAGACAAACTAATACTACCTTAGAACGTGATATATAAAGCTGATTCTAACTTGTGGCCACAAATTATTGCCTAATTATATTACAGAACTACCATAAAGTAACGAAACTGGCATACTCAATTTGCGATAAATGTATACACAATACACATTTTTGGAGTGGTATTTAAGTCTCATGCATACACTTAAAAATTAGGTATGAACCCCAAATCACTGACAATAAACGATAATGTCCCCGATGGCTGGATCATAATTGATGCCTTGCCATTGTTATCTCCAGAATGAATGAATTCACGTGTAAACTGTGATGTTTCAGGATCATGAATCAGACAAATGTAAAGGAGGTTAGAGATTTATCGTTTTAGTCCACTAAACAGAATAGGAAACATTGGGGGATTAAAAAGCAAATTTGGCAGTTTGAAAATAACTAGTTATTTCGGTAGTTTTCTACTCTGAAGGCGATGCAGAATAGAAATACCGGCACGAGTGACACCAACTCCACAGTTATGGGTTACTAACGAGGTTTTAGTTTCATGGGAGAAACTCATGGCCCCTGTACTTGACACTGGACACCTCCTTTCCGACAAGCCTGGGCGGTGGATGCTCCACGGTCTCGCCCCCCAGCCCCCGCCTCCGGGTCCGGCCCCGATCGCGCAGCCAGTCGCCCAGAAGGTAAACCTCCCGTAGCTGGGAAGAGCGAGGGGGCCCTTTCCCGGAGCGAAGGGACCGCCTGCCTCCGAACACAGGACGAGCCTCCGTGCACACGGGGAGCGCAAACACACAAAGCGGCGGAGCTCCGTGCTCCGGGTTCCACCCTCCGCGCGCGCAGCCCCGCGAAGGCCCCGGCTCCCCGGCCACCGCCTCCCCGAGCCCACCGAGCGGCGCCGCCGGAGGTCCCGCCGCCCTCCTCTCCCCTCCCCCAAACCGGGGGCAGCGGAGGCCCCGGGAGGTCGGCAGCTTCCGTTCCTTCCCCGCCCAAAGGGGGAGAGGCGGGCAGCGGGGCAGCGAGCGCGCCCCGTGCGAGCCTCCTCCGTTCCCCACGCGGACCGGGACCTCCCTTCCCGCCCCAGCCCCGCGACTCACTCGTCAGTCCCGCAGCCGCCGCGCCAGGTCCCCGCGCACCGACCGCCACAGCCCCCACTCCAGGGCCGCCCCCCCACCCCCACAAGCCCGCCGCCGTGGGTTCCGGGGCAGTTCGGGGAATCACTTCCGTCGACTCACCGACGCTCCGGACGACGCGCGGGAGATGGGTATCTGGCGAGGCGGGGAGTGTGCGGCCTATTTCCGTCCACAGGAAATGCACGGCGCTCCCTTCTCTTCTCCCTGGACCGCAGTACTCCAGGCTGGGGTAGCGGGGGAAACAGCAAGCACTGGCAGATCTCAACCCATTTAATACCAGGGCTTCGGATTCCCAGCATGCAGCGGGCGACCCTAATCCATTTCCCGCAGGATTAAGCGTTCTCAGAGGCCTGCACGTGGTCCGAGGCCGCGCGCTGCACCCTGGGATTCGTAGTTTCTCCGGCGAGTCCGTCGGTGTTTGGGTGCGGCCGCAGTGCGTCCTGGGATTTGTAGTTTCTCCAGCTGGCTCTTAAGACTTAAGTCAGATTTAGAAGTGGTCCTTGCCTCTCGTTTTGGGGGTACGCCTGGAGGCTGCAGAGGAAAGATGGAAAGGTGGGAGTGTGCGGTTTCTAAGCTAACAAAAACGTGTTCTTTGTGAAGCAACATCTGTCTTTTGTAAGTCCTTTGTTGAGAAGTTGCAGTGCGGAGTTGAAGAGCATCTCAAACTGCTCGCGCCATGGGCTGGCCTCATTTCCTCTCTTCCCGGTACGGTTCGATGTTTTCCGAAAACTAAGCACATTTCCTCCCACCCCCCCCCCCCCCCCCGTCCCCCCCTCCCCCGTCCCCACCCAGCCCGGGGGTTGCTCAGCGCGTCTAGATTCTGAGATCATTCACAGAAATTCCTGGCGGCTGCCACCCGTAGTCAATTCTGAGACCTTCTTTGTCACTCCACGCCCCCTTTGCCCCCACACCCCCTCTTGCTCTCAGGTTCGCTTGCTCTCTCTCGACGCGCCTATCCTTTTTATTTGCTTCCTTCGGTCAGCACCAGGCGCCCTTCCAGGAAGGCTGAAACTGCTCAATAGTCACCCTCTGTACAGGACCGTGGCACGTAGGGCCAAGAAGCTCACCATTGCAAGTTGCTCAACTAGGCGCTGTTGTGAAACCATGCCCATAAACGGAAAGGGACGAGGCAAAGTTTGTTGACCTAATTAGTGGCTTTTTCGGGAAGATATTTTTAGTTAATCTGGCGGACAAGATGTATTGCTTTTTTTTACAGAAAGGCTGTCCTGGGTTAACTGATCAAACAAAATCTTTGCAAACATTGTTTAAGTTCTTTGGTTGCATATTCAGAGTGAGAGGAGGAGGCTGTGGGCCCATTTCCAATCAGATCTTCCCTCCTTTTCCTTCGGAAGTGTCCTTTCCTCTCCTATCTTGCCTTTTCCCCTCACTGCATTATGGAATGATACGATTTTCCAGGTGAGGATACTGATTCAAAGCTAGAATCTAGTCCAGAACTTTTTTCTTCTTTTGTGCAAAATTAAACATTTATTTATGTAATCAATATTAACACATGCTTTTTATAAAAAATGCGGAAACCGCAGATATTTTCCCCCCCACGAACTTTTACATAGATCATGCACTTGATTTTTCTGAGGTGTAGCTTGTATTGTTGACAGGAAGCCACTGTCAAGATAGAATATAGAGAGACAGAAGTGTTTCCTGTAGGCAGAGGTGTCAGACATGGGTCCCTTTGGGTCTCCCTATTAGTTTAATTTGTATGCAGAACCTGTACAGAAAAGTTAGATAGATTCAGAGGAAGGAAGAGTGAGAATTGGTAAAAGGAATATCAATAACAAAATATGCACGTGACACCATCTTACTGGCAGAAAGTAGCAAAGATTTGAAATGATTTTTTATAAAAGTGAAAGAAGCAAGTGCCAAAGCTGGACTACATTTGAACATCAAGACAAAAATCGCTGAAACCGGTTTGGCACTGCGGTAGAGCGTCGGCCTGCAGACTGAAAGGTCCCGGGTTCGATTCTGGTCAAGGGCATGTACATTGGTTGCGGGCATATCCCCAGTAGGAGGTATGCAGGAGGCAGCTGGTCAGTGTTCCTCTTTTATCGATGTTTCTGACTCTTCCTTTCCTTTCCTCTCTGTAAAAAATCAATAAAAATATATTTAAAAAACGAAGTATTTAGGGTTCTTTTTTTTTTTTTTTAACATATTTTATTGATTTTTTTTACAGAGAGGAAGGGAGAGAGATAGAGAGTTACAAACATTGATCAGCTGCCTCCTGCACACTCCCCACTGGGCTTGTGCCCACAACCAAGGTACATACCCTTGACCGGAATCGAACCTGGGACCTTTCAGTCCGCAAGCCAACGCTCTGTCCGCTGAGCCAAACCAGTTTCAGTGTATTTAGGGTTCTTATATTAGCTTTACCAAATTTTTTTCCCCCATTTTTCCCATCATGCCATTCTGATCTTAAGCTCACCTTAAAGAATGGGAAAGGTATTGGTAAATGGGGAGGAAAGACAGTTAAATAAACAAAATTTCATACAATAATGATGACATTCTAAAAGTGATAGCCATTTTCAATATTTCCATCAGCCACTATTTTTTTTAAAATATATTTTATTGATTTTGTACAGAGAGGAAGGGAGTTAGAAACATCAATGAGAGAGAGTCATCGATCAGCTGCCTCTTGCACACCCCCTACTGGAGATATGCCCAAAACCAAGGTACATGCCCTTGACCGGAATCGAACCCGGGACCTCTCAGTCCCCAAGCTCTATCCATTGAGCCAAACCGGTTTCGGCAGCCACTATATTTTTAAATATATTTTATTGATTTTTTACAGAGAGGAAGGGAGAGGGATAGAGAGTTAGAAACATTGATGTGAGAGAATCATCAACCAGCTGTCTCTTGCACACCTCCTACTGGGGATGTGCCCGCAACCAATGTACATGCCCTTGACTGGAATCGAACCTGGGACTTTTCAGTCCGCAGGCTGAAGCTCTATCCACTGAGCCAAACCGGTTTCGGCTCAGCCTCTATTTTTAAAGGGAACCTCTCAGGTGATATGAACAAGGAATCAAAGCTTATTTTTTAAATAGCAAAACATTTTAAAAATGTCACTCAAGGCTGAAACCGGTTTGGCTCAGTGGTAGAGCGTTGGTCTGCGGACTGAAAGGTCCCAGGTTCGATTCCGGTCAAGGGCATGTAGGTTGGTTGCGGGCACATCCCCTATAGGGGGTGTTCAAGAGGCAGCTGGTCGATGTTTCTCTCTCATTGACGTTTCTAGCTCTCTATCTCTCTCCCTTCCTCTCTGTAAAAAATCAATAAAAATACATTAAAAAAAATGTCACTCAAGTAGTTTACATTCAACAAATGTCTCTAAATTACTAGACTTGGGAAATTTATTTTAACAATGCATAACAATTCCCTATAATTTTATAGCACAGTCTTCATAATATTTCATTTTAGCTATTTGGAAACCTTGAGAAGTAGACCAAATGCTTTACTTACTGACTATATTTGTAGGATGAAACTCAGTTTAACAAAAGATAAAAATGCAGGTTTTCTCAGCATATTGTTAAAATAATCGAAGAGAAGGCTATTAGAGTGAGGTAACTCTGGTACCTGGTAGCCTGGTAGGGAAACCAAAACCTAAGCCAGAGTCAATTCCTGTAAATGCTTCAAGGATAAGAACAACCACCAACTAAGTTTTCCCAAATAATGCAACTGCTTAACTTATAGCCAATCAAATAAGTCCTTTGCTTTGCCTGTGCACCTTGTCTTTAAAAGCTCTGGTCAGTAGAGTTTCCTAACTTCAATTTGGTACTACCCAATTTGAATACATTTTTGCTCGAATAAACTCAAAATTCTTAATATCCCTCAGTTTACATTTTTAACAATATTAAAGAAAAAGTTAAATATATATCAGTAAAATAATGAGTAAGCGATGATGTTTGTCTACTAATTACACTGTTTAGAAGAATTTTTAAAATGTAAGTGGGTAATTTTCAGAATGAAATTATTCATACACAAGTAGTATAATTGTATCCTTCTGGGTACTGAGAAAAAGTGGACAGGAGTTGCCATGGTGATATTATTTTAGACTATTAGCTTGTTCTCCTCGTATGCAAATAACATGTTGAATCAAAAACAGTTTCCAAATAGTAAACAAAAGTGTGATTTTACTGGTTGGAGGCTCATCTTTCAAGACCCAGCTGGACATGAAGCTTCTAGGCAGTGTGAGGCCAAATGATTTTGTTGTGGGCGACCCGCGAATGACGACCACCAGTCAGCCACACTGGAATTCAGGAAGCCTTTATTACGAACTCGAGTCCGGGCTCCCGTCTCAACTGACACAGCAGCGAGCAACGAGAGCCCCGACCCACTCTAAGCATGCTACTTTTATCCCCGTCTTAGGGATGCCTGGCAGATTAGGGTTGGCTAAAGTTTTAACAAAGAAACGTCAGTTATAAGTCATAGAAAAATTCCACTAGTACGGTAACATTTAAAGTTTATACAACACCTGGGGTGGGGGTTTATTTTCAGCTTAAGCAGTCTCTGTTTGACCTGGTTTGGTCTGTTTGTCCTGCCTTGTGGCTACTGGTAACAGGACGTGCCTGCCTGGGGGTTGAGCCTTGCAACAGAACTATTTTATGATTAACATTTATGCTACATTCTTTGTTGTGGGTCTGGTTGCTCGTTCCTTCCCTGGCCTGGAGTCCTGCCTGGACAGGGTCTTGCTGGCCATCTGGAGCCCTGCCTCCACCGGGTCTTGCTGGCCACAACAATTTATGATGTGATTTGCTATGGGCTTCTGTAGCCTTTTGAGAATTGGTCTATTTGATTATATTTTGGCATATTTATAAGTGTTTCCTTCGCTATGTGAGCACGCACTGTGGATTCTCAACTGTATCCAGTATCTTTGAATCCTCTGCTCCTAACAATCCCAATAGACGCTGAAGCACTTGAACAAGCAGGGGATGAGTGTTTACATGGATATGAATGATTCCACAAGACAAATTGGACAAGTAGGAACATTCTAGGAAACGAGTTCCGTTTACTTTCTAGCAACCCACTT